ATCCTGGAGTGGGTAGCCACGACATTCTGGGGGAATCTTTCCAGCCACGGAGTACTGCATTGCAGGTGACTCTTCACTGTTTGATCCACGTGGGAAGCCCGAAAGAGATTACTGGAGTGGATCAGAAAGCAAGACCCAACCATGTGCTGTAAGAAACCCACTGTAATTATAAAGACACAGATTAAAAGTAAATAGATGAAGAAAAATATGCTGTGCTAACAGTTTCTATATGTGTTTAGTGGCTATGCAAAACAACCACACATACAGAAAAAAAAAAAAGTTAAAAGAACTGGATTTAAACCCAAACTCTATCAGCCTCAGTTTACTCACCTACAAAAAGGAACAAACAATATCTAATTCCATAAGGTGTTTCTAAATTTTAAAAGCTACATGAAATATTGTAAAGTGCTGTTATAAAAGGAAAAGTATTTTGGTGAAGAGATGCCACTCTAGTCCTATCATCCATGTATTGCTTTAAGAGATGGATGAATATCTTAGCACGAAGTTGATATTACCAACACTTGATCAAATAAAGCATCAGGCTTTATATCCTGAAGTAGCATCCAAGAACCAAGAAATTCATCTCTGGTTCTGCCTTCCTATGCAAAGTCAGGCAATGAAGGACACTCTGCATAAAAGCATTGTATTTTAAGATACTTCAGAGTTGCTTTCTAAGGTCAGGTCTCAAGGAGCCACACCATTATTTCAAGACCCGTTTACTGTGCACACATACTATGCAGGCTCTCTGCACATACTTCAGAACAGACAGATGAACCATCTCTTCGTTTCCTAAAGGCCAACTGTGAGCCAGACCCTTCTGTACATCATTTCTACTCTTAAGAACCCCTTATAAGGTTTCCATACCCATCTTGCAAATGAAGAAATTGAGCCTTGACAGACATGAAAACTCATTGAAAAATATTGCAGAAGTAGGAGAGATCCTGGCACAGGCCCCCAAGCCTGGGTTCTTTCCAACCCATGATTCTCACCCAACAAGGCAAGACACAGTCCCAGCCAAAAGCAAGAGGCCCCTTTGTGAAGGTTGTTCAGAGATCTGACACACCTTAAAAAGAGATGCGTAATCTTTAGGGGGCATTTTTATCCAGCTGTGGTAATCAAAATTTATCAACCAAGATAAGAGATGGTGCCTACCCTCAGAGACCTTACATTCTAGTTGAGAAGATTAACAGCCTTGAAACCCTGACGAGGCACTAAAGACAGCATGAAAGAGCATCTCTGGACTGCCCTCCACTGTAGGAATATCCCAGCCGAGAGAATGCCAAGCTTCAAGACTCACCTGGGAAAGACCAGAGGACATGCTGACAAATTCACCCTTTTCTGACTGTTTAAAATATCCTTGTAGTTCTTACAATATAAACTTCTCTGGAGAAGGTTCACTGGGGAGATTAGATCACACACAGTACTTGCCGGCAGCCTTTAGGAAGCAATGGCACCCATCACACCCCCTTACCCATACACACCTGTAAAAGACTTAGAGGGACTCTGGAATAAACAACCTGGCTCTCAGTTGCTGCTCTGCCACTTAACTAGATGCTTGAGCTGACTTCTGTCAGTTAACCTTGGCAAGACTTAGTCTCCTCATCTATAAAACAGGAATAATAGCCATCAGCCTCAAAGGCTCAGGGTGAGCATTAAATGAGGTCAAACACAACAAGCGATGACCACAGTGTTACAAAGTGTTCAACAAATTCTAGCTTCTTTCAGGAGGATGAGCATCATCCATAGTATCTGAGGCTCAAAACCACTTTCTCCTTAGCTGGCTTCTCTGAGTAGCAGCTGATGTTCTCTTTTCAACTGCAGGTAGGTTAGACTCTTCAAGCTAATTAAAACAAAAGTCTCACCCAGTTCTCCTTTCAAGACTTGGCTCACTGCATGCTCTTCCTGTCCCTCCTGAAGTTGCCTGGCCTGTTTTTTCCCAGCATCACAAATCTCAAAACCTCAGCTTCCCATAAGAAGCAAAGTATTTCTCCAAATAGTAAATTCTCGTGGATAGTTTTGTTACTGCCTAGGGATCACTTAATTTACATATAAAAATGATCATCTTCCATGTCTTCTGCTACTCACAAGGCTGTTTTCCTCATGAAGTCCCTAAGGTGGAGTTTCCAAGGTGGGCTGGGTAGCATTTGGTACACAGCACTGAATATACACAGAAAAGTCTATGGAAAGAACACGGGGTTGGCAGTGTGCCTCAACCACAAACTGGCCTTGCATGCAGGCAATGGCATCTGTGCTGGTCTCTACCAGGACACAGAATGCAAAATAAATTCTCTGGAAGTTTCCTAATTCAAGATTAATCTGCTTGGATGGGAGGGGAGTCTGAGGCAGAATGAACACATGTGTATGTATGTCCGCCTGAAACTATGACAACATTATTAATCGGCTATACTCCAATGCAAAATAAAAAATTAAAATTAAAAAAAAAGTTTTTAATGATTAATCTGACTGAGGCATGCAGGATGAACCACAGAAGTGGGGGCACTGGAGCAGGGAGAATATGGGAGCTGACTTCTGTGAGCTGAGGTCAGGCCAAGGGAGGGGACAGTGACATCCAGTGATTTTTTTATAAGCCAGCCCCCTCCAAAAAAAAATTTCCCTCCACCGTGTACACCCTCTCTGCCTAGGAAAGTCACTCCCAGAGAACTTGTTTTGCTCATCTGGCTGGGCAAAAAAGCTCCACAGAGGCTTCGGTCACACCAATCACAGGTAGCAACTTCTACATTCATCTTGTCTTGCTTATCTGCAGCAGTAACTGCAGAGAATTTGATCTTCTGAGCTTACTCCTTACATCTCATTCTGCCACATTTGCCCACAGCAAATTTTCCTTTTTCTGCTCAATTGCCTTGGGGGCTGACAACATAAAATTATCAAAAAGTAAAAGATGTCAAAAATCCTTTAGAACTCAAAGCAGGTTGCTAGCCAAATAGGGACACAACAGCAACCATGAAAATAAAAGATGACCGGGGTGCTTAAGAGTTCATTTTCAAACGAATGTCAAAGAGAACAGTTCTCAACACAAAATGACCTTGCCTTCACAACTCACATAACATAACGTATAAATAAGACACTGGAAGAAAAGAACGAGGTATTCAGTTACATTCATTGTAGGACTGGGGGTAGGGGAATGAGATGATGACACTGAACTCCTAAGAGAATATTAAATCCCTCACAGGCAAGTATCAGCAAAAAGTTCTAGGTGTTCAGGCAGTAACTTTAACATTATGAACCTCAGCTTCTGCCACATGCAAAACAGGGATTAAAATAGCATTAACTTCCCTCCTATAAGGATTAATTTCCCTCCTGTGCATTACTCACGCACCACAGTGAGAACTCAATAAATGGCCACATTGACATAACTGGTCTATTTCCCATTTGTCTCATTCTCCCACTATGAGGAGAATCGGAGGTGAGTGGAAATATGGTTTAATAAAAAGCTTTAACTAGTCAACTATTTTACTATAACAGTTTGTTTACTGGGATTCTGCTTGAAATGGGGAGGGCAATGCCAAGAAATGAGGCTTTGTGCCTTGAACAGAAAACATAAAACTTGCGGCAGCCTCACCCAGCACCCCACTTTTTCATAAAACTTTGCAGGTTACAGAACATCAGTGCCAGTGGCGGCCTTGGCCGCCTACAATCTTTAAAAAAGGAGTGGGGTGGGTGGGAATGCAATATGATCTGTCTTTAACAAGGTTTCATGTGGCCAAGGGACCCAGAGCATCACAGAATTTCAGGGCTGGAAAGGACCACAATTTCCAAATGTTATGAGTCTTGAAGTCCAGATCAATCCATCAAGATGAGAGAATACTACAACCAGTCACACATGCTCCCTGAAACAAAGAATTCCCACCCTGCCAAGCCCTTCCAATAGGACAAGGGGGAAAGCCAAGTCAGCCATTAAGTGTCACAGCTTCTATGCCCGTGGTCCCACTGTGCTCTCTAGAAGCTAAGCTCCATGAACCTAGGCATCTGTTACCACGTGAGTCTGTAAGTCATGAGGATACAACAATATTATTCTAAATTCCTTCTTAAAATTTCACTTTGCTCTTCCCTCTGAAAAAGCAGCAGTACAAAATTAACATCTAAAGTTTCATAACATTTATAGTAAGTCCAAATGTCTCAAACTAAAGTAAAAAAATCTTATATACAAGTACAAGGTTGGGAAATAAATAGCTTTCTCTTCGCAAAAAAAAAAAAAAATCATTAAGGCAAATCTGCCATCAAATGCCCTTTGGTGTTTCTGAACCCGTTATTTCACTCAATAAAAGTTCACTAATGCGAAGCACTGAATAGTGTGGTTCTTCTATTTTAAATTTACAGTTAGGTCTTACATGTCTGGAAATCCATCCCTCAAAATTCTAAACAGAGGGCATTTTAAGAAGACTGCAGAGATGGGGGAAAGGATAAAGGCCTCATGCAGAAGTTGCTCCCACCCTTTAAATATGCAACAAAAGTCTTTCATAAATATGTAACTTTAGAACTCTTGGGTTGGTTTCCACAAATACCAAAGCTCCCTTTAAGAGGACTGAGAATATAATACATTGGTGAATATAATTACACTTCTGAAGGGAATCTAGTTTAAGAAGCATATAATTATAGACTCTTCTTATCTAATAATAAAAGTGCAAAAGATAAATAAGTTTTCTCTTATGTAAAAATGTAAAGCCTAGCTAAATACACTAGATTATAAGAGGGAAAAAAACTAAAAGATGAGCTAAATCTCTTGAAACAAAAATGAAAAATACTTGAATTCTCAACATGGTATGAAGCATTTCTAATTCCCATCTGCTAACATCACAGCTCAAAAAACTAGCCGGCAAATTTAAACGTAGAGAAATCTGGTGCAGTGAGACCTTGGGAAGCACAAAATCCAGGACAACACCACAAAGTTCACTGACAAGGCTTTGCTAAATTGTCACGTCCGACAGCTGAACAGGGACAGAAAATCACAGTTACACATGCGTGGAATTGAAAATACTCACACTCCTATTTCATTGCCGGGAACACCGAAGTCCAAAGAGAAAGGAAGGAGGAGCAGGAGGGCTCAGGAATGTGCCCGAGACGCTGACCAGAGGAGAACTGGCTGGGAAGGTCCTTTCTCAGGAGTCTCCCAGCAATCGGCATTTACTCACTTAACAAGGACAAGTAAGTGCCTGAACCCTTCGAATTAAATGCCAGGCGGGGAAACCCTTCTCTGGCCACTCAGCTCAGCTCCCTCATTAAATTCAGAGTGGAACCAGCTGCCGGGAAAGCAAAGGGTGACCCCGCCAAGGCTCTGGAAATTCCTAGCCAAGAGTAGATTGAGTGCCTGGATCAGTGCTAGAAGGGAGATTTCAGGCCGGCTTACGGAAGATAAGGAAACCGTCCTCAGAGTACTGCTCTGCTCCTGGCTGGAAGTAAAGTGTGGTTCTCTGTAGAACGTGTTGGGTCCACATGCCAGTTCGCTTGGCCTCACTGTCATCAGGGAAGAAGAACAGATGGAGTTAAGAGGGGCAGAGAGAACCCAAAGATGAATAAAATGATGCAGATGAACAGACCAGCCCAGGCAATATTTCAACAGGGGAAAAAAAGATCAATCCTCTATAAGAATTATTTACATATATAGACAGAAATACACACAGAATTCTTCACTAAATAGAAGGGCTTGTTTGCTATTTGTTTTGGGGTTTTTTTGATCCTTGCAGCCTACTTTTTTCTTTTTTTATACTCTAAGATTGGATGTTGGATGTTTAGTCACTAAGTCATGTCCAACTCTTTGCAACCCCATGGATTATTGCCCACCAGGCTCCTTCTCTAGGCAAGAATACCAAAGTGGGTTGCCATTTCCTTCTCCAGGGAGCTTCCCTGACCCAGGGGTTGAACCCCAGTCTCGTGCATTGCAGACAGACTCTTTACCACTGACTTTTAAAAATTTATTTATTTAATTGGAGGATAATTACTTTACAATACTGTGATGGCCTCTGCCATATATCAACACGAATAGGCCATAGGCATACATGTGCCCCCTCCCTCTTGAACGCCCCGCCCCTCCAGGTTGTCACAGAGCACTGGCTTTAGGTTCCCTTCGTCATCCATCGAACTCCCACTGGCTATCTGTTTTACATATGATAATGCATATGTTTCAGTGCTGTTCTCTCAAATCATCCTACCCCCTCCTTTTCCCACTCTTTCCAAAAGTCTGACTTTCTTTTTAATTGAAGGATAGTTGATTTACAATATTGTGTTAGTTTCAGGTAAACAGCAAAGTGATTCAGTTTTTTATTTTTTTATTTTTTTCAGATTATTTTCAATTATATATTTTCAATTACAAGATATTGTCAACAAAGATCCATCTAGTCAAAGCTATGGTTTTTCCAGTAGTCATGTATGTATGAAGGTTGGACTATAAAGAAAGCTGAGCACTGAAGAATTGATGCTTTTGAACTGTGGTGTTGGAGAAGACTCTTGAGAGTCCCTTGGACTGCTAGAAGATCCAACCAGTCCATCCTAAAGGAGACAGTCCTGGGTGTTCATTGGAAGGACTGATGCCGAAGCTGAAACTCCAATACTTTGGCCACCTGATGTGAAGAGCTGACTCATTTGAAAAGATCCTGATGCTGAGAAAGATTGAGAGCAGGAGCAGAGGGGGCAGCAGAGGATGAGATGGTTGAATGGCATCACCAACTCAATAGACATGAGTTTGAGTAAACTCCGGGAGTTGGTGATGGACAGGGAGGCCTGGCATGCTGTGGTTCATGGGGTCACAAAGAATCAGACATGACTGAGTGACTGAATTGAACAAGATATTGAACATAGTTCCCTGTGTTCTACAGTAAACCGTTGTTGCTTATCTGTTTTAGGTATAGTAGTTGTATCCGTTAATCTCACACTCCTAATTCACCCTCCTCCTCCATTTCCCCTTTGGTTTCTATAAGTTTATTTTCTATGTCTTTGGGTCTGTTTCTGTTCTGCAAATAGTTCCATTTGTGTAATTTTTTTAGATTCCACATATTAATTGATATCATATTTGTCTTTCTAAACAGAGGTTAAGTTTTATTTAAATCTTTATTTCATTTGTTTTGCCTATCTTTGAAATCTACATAAATGACATTAAGAAATTATATTCAAATATAGATACGTTATGTGAAATCATTTTGAAGTCAAACTTTAAGATAATCTAAGTGATAGCTTCTCTTATGTCTTGATCTTTTTTTTTCCTCTTAAAATAAAGATAGATCTGTAACCGAGTATGGCAAGACAAAAACTGACATCTTTTGGCTTGCATTTCATTACTTTAAAAGCCAAAAATGCTGTTTTGTGTAACTATGTGGTTGGAAGACCCTAATAGAACAATCGTTGCCTTTTTTGTGGGTAACTGTCTATTCTCATCTATCCCCAAATTAAATAAAATACTGGTTTTAACTTTTGATATGAGGTAGCAATTTCCTCCATATTCAGTAATTTCCTCCAAAGATACTTTTATAAATTCACAAGTGGCTTAATAACCAATGATTTTCTTAGATCAAGTATTTTAAAGTCCAACTTGCAATGCTATTCCCAGTCAACTCAATGAATTGGAGAATTCAGAAAAAGGCAGGAGGCATTTAAAAATTGTTTCTCATACGTGACTTTCCACCAAATTTTTAATTTGTATTTTAATTTTCATTATAAATTTGAATTATCTAGATTAAAAACCATTTTCAATTATGGTAACTAAAATAACCTTGGCAAAATCTTCCAGAGGGTCTCAATACTGCCGTAGGTTGATAAACAGGGGACGTATCTGTTTAAAATGCAGACTGCAGGTTCTGCTCTCAGATATGTTGGCTGAGAAGTTCCAAGAAGGCCCCAGAATCTGCATTTCTGACATACAGTTTCAGGCCATCCTTTGAGAAACACTGGTCAATGTGCCCAGCTGAAGCTCCAATACTCTGGCCACCTGATGTGAAGCGCTGACCCATTGGAAAAGACCCTGATGCTGGGAAAGATTGAGGGCAGGAGCGGAAGGGGGCAGCAGAGGATGAGATGGTTGGATGGTATCACCGATTCAGTGGACATGAGTTTGAGCAAGCTCCGGGAGATGGTGAAGGACAGGGAGGCCTGGTGTGCCACAGACCATGGGGTCGCAAAGAGTCAGACACGACTGAGCGACTGAACAACAACTGTAGCACCAAGTATGAGATATCCACAGCTCTCGCACAGAGCTGACCACAAAGCCGAAAACCACCACGAGCGTGTTGCATCACTTTAAACAGAATTTATAATTTGTATCGATTGTGTCAGAACTTCACTTAAGCAGGGTGACTGTTTCTCCTTTTTTCCCTGCAAAATGTTCACAGTGAATAAAACAATGTGCAAATGTAATTCCACTTGCAGGGCCTGCCAGGCATGACTGCTCCCCATCTGCACACAGTCTGGCACGGGATTTCCGAATGAGGAAGTAGCTCAGAGTACAAGCGTCTATTAGCTTAAATATTCCTAAACTGGATGTCTGAGAAAGCAAAGAATTCAACTGTACACAAAAGGTAGGATGATTTCATACCATAACCCATAAAATGACTCTAACCTAGAAAAAGATGTATTTGGACACATCCAGCGACACATCTAAAGAGCAAATGTTTATTTTTTAATTAGACAAGCTTTGATTTCTAATAGTCCATTAATAATTTATTCTATCATGCTATTGTTAGGGGACAGTTCTCCCCTTGTATCAGACTCAAACTCCCAACTTCTATTGTCTTTCCACTAAATACAGTCTTATTAATTATACAGCAACAGGAAAGTTTCTAACAGAAAGCAATTAAACCCCCCCCAAAATCAAAAGTGGTTGTTTGAGTATTAAGCTTTTTAAGAATTCCCTTTTCATATCATTTCAAAAGTAATTTTTTTTTTTAGATTTATCAAGTTAATTTTTTAAAACATGAAAGAAATGTAAGCACAGAACTAAACATCTGAACATTAAAGATCCAAAACATCAGCACCCAGCACAACCTCTTAATCTGTAGGACCAAGCTGCCACAAATATCACTCATCCCCGGATGAACTTGTTTCTGATCCAGGTAACTGCTAAGTATTCAGGACTGTACCTCTGTAACACATAAACTTTAATTTGGGGGTAAGAGGGATTCCCTGGCGGTCCAGTGGTTAGGACTTTGTCCTCTCACTGACAAGGGCCCAGGTTCAACCTCCGGTCAGAGAACTAATATCATGTCAGCTTTGAAGCTTGGCCAAAAAAAAAAAGAAAAAAAAAATGGGGGATGGGGAGCATATACTCAAGCTCTGCTTCACATTTCTTTTTAGCCCAGTCTGATTCTTTTTTCTTAGTAATAAATTAAACACAACCAATGTTATCACCAAGAGTCCCCTCTTCAGCACAGGCACTAAGCTTAGCATGTTACATACAATGGCTCATTTAACCCTACTAACCTTATGATATATGGACTGCTGCTGCCAACTGCGAAAGCAGGCAAAGGCTCAGGGTCTTCTCTGGGGTCACACAACCAGGATGTGGTGGAGTTGTGACAGAAAATCCCACCTGACCTTAAATTCCAGGCTCTTTTCTATGACCTCATTCTATAAAGGTGTGTCTTCCACTGCACTGCGTTTCCCTGTCTACACTGTCCTGCTCATTTTAAGAACACCTTCCTGGTACACTCATTTTTGGAGTAATGACTTGAATCTGCTCAACAGCACTCTACACAATCACCCTGCCTTTCCAAAGTATCTGCTTTGTCCCCACACTGTGCTCAGTCTAGCTGCAGACATGAACAGGCGCTGCCCTTGAGGGGCTTGCATTCCAAGCCGTGGAGGGGACTTAAAAGCAGGACAGGGTTTGGGTTGGTTTTTTTCATTTGTTTTTTTTAAGCCATGTGATGCCTGGCCCCGGTCCACTGCCGGCTGCTGAGAGTGTGACAGTGAACAGAAGCCTGGACTGAGGCCTGTGAGCAGAGACAAGGGACCCCTTTGGTCTACAACATGAACTTGAGAGTTAATTAAGGACTCTTCACGGTGCTTTCTCGGCACAAATTCCAAAACTAGAATTGTTTGTCTCTGAAAATTCCTAGCCACAAGCAGATTGAGTGCCTGGATCAGAGCTAGACAGGAGATACTAAAAGGGAAATGTTAAAGTAAAATCAAGTTTGTGCACATTTGAAAAAAATTTTTTAAACCTGTTCATAGTTATGATGCTGGCGTCACCAAATCCCAAGTCCTGCTGTTTACTCCCTTGACTCTTGTCAACTCAAGTGGCAAAGATATCGCAAGTTCCAGTAAATACATGGCTCATTCTTGTGCTGGCAGAAGTTCTAGAGGGGAGCTGGAAGGAGTGTTTGTGGCCAAGCTTAGGCTACAGCCTTTACAGGGGCAGTATTCCCCATGGTCCAGAAAGGCAGTGACCAGTTATCAAGGCAAGAGAACCCTAAGCTAATAGGTCAATGTAGGTAGCCCATGGTTATGAACGTCCCCATTTCCCTCCACCACTAACTCGGCAATTCCATGCTTTTCTTTAATGAGAAGCCTGATGCCTCTCGACTCATGCCCCTGCCTTCCCTCAGAGGCACTGATTAAGAATGCAGCCTCAATTTGCAGCAACATGGAGGCACCTAGAGATGACCACAGTAAGTGAAGTAAGTCAGAAAGACAAATATATCACTTATACGCAGAATCTAAAATATGACACAGATGAACTTATCTACGAAACAGAAACAGATTCACAGAC